TTTCGAATATTCTCCCCTCGGGTTAATGAAATGATAAATCTAGACGGGTATATTTACTGGATATTTACCGATGTGCAATTAGATGATTTAAACCGTGCTCGATGCCTAAAAACCTCAAGACCGAGATAAAGAAAATAGCCATCAAATCGAGCATTTGGACACGAGTCAGGTGTCCAGTGAGAATGCAGGGGAGAGGGTTAAACCCGCGTAAAGTGGGTCGAGCCACGTATACCCTGTCATGTAAAAGCGTTTTCACTCGAGTTCAATGTAGAGGTAAATAGGGAGAAGCGTGACAAGGTACCTATAGACGGCCATCCACCTTATGCAGCTCGATGGATGCATTACCCCCTGACGAATATATATTTTGCCCAGTATTATCGTGCATCCGGTGGTGGCGGACCGACCCACGCAAACTACCCTCACCCTATCCCCTTATTATTAGCAGAACACAGAAACACCTTCGTGATTTAATTGTTCACATTTTTAATTAGCTCATTTCAAATTAATTCCTCCCCCATTACGCCATAAATTTTCAAATTTTAAATTCAATCGTTAAATTTTCTGGAAATTTTCTAAAACGACACCTGACTCATGCGAATCCCACTATTATGTGCGGAGACATGAAAAAAACATGAAGACTAACGAAATTTTCGCACGATATTGCACCTCCCATTAGCGTTGCATTAATGACTCGAAATTTTTTAACTACCGATTCCCTCTTTATCTCTGTCGTGTCAAACTAGGGTGGCTATAACAGTGAAAAAAAAAAAAGAGTCAGGCGGGGGTGAATGTAAAGAACGTCGTCAGCGAAAGATAGAAGTGCAAAGACCACATCCACGTAAGCGTAACAGCACGGGGTTGGATTATACAGAGAGAAGGGTAGCGAGGGACAGAGAAGTGAGTAGAGTGTGCATTATTTATCGGAGTACACGTGTCCCACCCTCCTTGGCGAAGTGCACAGCGTGGACAGCACACAGAACTTCCTCTAGAATCGTCCCGCATTTCGCCATGATCCACCCCACAAAAAAAATAAATAAATAAATAGAATTTCTTGTTTTCCACGTCTTATTTTTGTACCTGTCCCTATACACACGTATGAGCGTAATCGCGATAGAATTGAGTGATTTTCCGGACGTTGGGAATTAATAGTGGAAATAAAGAAATAATGAGAAGATACATATAATAATTAAAGTCAAGTATTTTTCCCGAGCACCTTTCAAGCTCACTCCCCTTCCAACCGCTTTTCACAACTAGAGTGCAAAAGTTGAAGTGTAAAAAAAAGCATAAAAAGAACGTGTACAGTGCTCGAATGAGAGTAGAAAGAAAAAAAAAATACAAGTGAGAGAGATGAAGAAAATGTTAATTCCGGTATTTGAGCGGGTGGTGGAGTCGAGTTACCTCTGGAGCCGCCTTCACGCCCCGTCGATTTTTCGCATGCGGTAGTGGAGTTTTTTTAAAAATTCAAGCATTCGTGTCTCACACGCGTTAACAACCCTCTCATCCCCCCCGCCACGACAAATGGAAACAATTGTTCATTAGAAAAGAACTCTAATTAATCAATCAGCTCGGCTAATTAACTCCACTCATAAATTTCCATAATTTCCCACTCAATGAAGCCCTCGAGAAATGAGAAAAAAAAAATAATAAAAGGAGAGAGAGAGAGAGAGAGAGAAAAGAGCACGATGAGTCGATAATCGACTGTACGAAGAGGCCAAATCCTAGCAATTGAATCCTCATAATTATCGACAAACAATAATCAATGGCAATGATCGATGAATTACCAACGAATTTTATAATTTTCCGCGGAATATTCAGTGAAATAGAGGTTTTTCTTTGATGTGCGCACTCAATATGCAAAAGGGCGGAATAAAAAGCCCTCGAGGATGAGGGGTATAGTGGCAGTAATTATCCCCCTCCCCCCTCTGGACTCTCGCAACGTTAATAATTCGAGCATCCCACTCGGTTTCAATCCGGTGCTCGGGCGATTTCGCGCTAATGCACAGCGTTGCGGTAATATTCGATTATGTTCCCACGGAATTACGGAAATTCCTATCAACGGTTTCATTGGCCTCCCTCTTCGTAGACTCAACTGCCCCTTCCTCCTCTGCCCTTGCCCGTTCGATGGTGAGCTCTCATCCAAACGTGTACCCGGGGGCCACTCAATCCGCTGAAAACCATTCCTCCTACCGGGTTTTCGTCCCTCCACACAGGACTCTGAATGCAAGTGTACTTGTATATTTGGTATTTTCAACGGAGATTTGAATTGTCGGGGGCGGAGGCATTCGAAACAAACGATTGAGTGAAAATGGTTATTCCAAATGCTTCAATCTCCACTATGTACTGATTATTTAACCCAGTGAATCAAATTCATAGTCATTTCGCTCGCAGTAATTTCGATAAACGGAGGGAAGAAATTGCCGATGCCAATTGAACTCTTGTTCCGAATTATCTACTCGAGTGTTCAGGCTAAATTCAAATACAAGCAAATATTTTTCATAAAAAAACAATCTTAATCCGAAAAAATCCTTACACATCATCAAACAACCGACTATTTCACTGAATGTTCCCCAACCAGATGGTTCTATTGAGTGAGGCCCCAGTGATTTTCCTCGGTCAATCGAAAAGAAATCCGGGACTCACTTGTGAAGATGAATAGGAAGCTCAGAGGGAAGAAAGGACTCCGCCCTACGCAGGTAACAACCATCCGACTCTACGTCTCCAATTACTCGACAACAGATCCCCTCCACGAGCAATCATCAAAATTTAGGCATTCAAAAGAGAAGAAAAAAAAATAAAAAATCTCCCCCCCCAGGATAAAATAATTCGCCATCAGCGTCGGGTTCCAGCGATTCCCGCAGTTAAAACACCTTGAATATTTATCTTGACACAGCTCTGTGTTTACAAGATAAGCCGATATATATATGCGAGTAAGATATACTGCATGTATATGTCCACCATATACACGAGTATAATACTCTTAACGATACAAGCCCAAGTGTTATTTATTCAGGGACTCTTCTCGTTAGACTTAACAATGAATAATCGTATTAAACTTACCGCCCCCCTTTCGAATTTAATATACCCCGAGTGAAATGCATGTTCGAGCTTATCAGTGGAATCACGATAGAGACCTCACGAGTATCAACTCACGAAATAAGAAAATAAATCCTCGGGAAACATGAGAATTAATTAATGAGGAAAAAGCAATACTAGGAAAAGTCATTTGGAGTAAATTTGGGTTGAAATTCGAGTGCGATGCCCGTGGGGAGAGACAGTGACCTTACCGGTTTGTCAGATGGTTATCGTGTCACGCATGTACAAGTTTCTAAAAGGAGAAACAACAGCCCTCGTGCTGAATGGGTTGTACGAAACACTCGGGGAACAAAGGAAGTCACGCTGAAAACCTCAGTGGCCACTCGAATTTCCGGATCCATGCGTATCACATCCCCAAGATCTCTCACCACCTACTGATATCTCCCAAGATTTTGGATTAATCATTTACAACTTGATACACATTTTCACCTTTCAATCACCCAATGTCTATCATCAATTTTTACTCACTACTGATACGATATCTTCAACAATGACTAAGTGCACGATAAAACGACAAGAGAATTTCGTGGAATATAAAGCAAATGCTAACGGAATAAATCATTCGATGAAGATAATGAAATAAATGATAAGATAATTTCCAGAAATAGACTGTGATTTTTTTGAGAAGAGTATAGAGATATTGAAGCTGGTAAATGTGCAGAAAGATTGTTCCAAAGATATTTACAAATTCATTCAATGCTGTATGTTGCAATGATATTGTATGGAGGTGTATGCAGGGTGAAAAAGTGAGGAACGTCAAAAAATATCCACGGGATTTGCACATAGCCGTTAAACTTGTAGCCAACTGAGAGGAGAATGGAAGACACGAATTGCTTAGCACACACCCCTACACGTTTCAGACCTGATAAGAAAACTGCACTGGGAACACGAACGTGCCATTCTTGCTATGCGCATACCTATCCCATGTTGGCTCGGATTAATATTAGCGTAACGATAAAATGTCCAGTTTTATCCTCCGACTGACTTTGCTTCTCCTAATCCGCCCGTAAAATCACGTGCAACTCACCAAAAAGTCAGTTAAAAAAGAAAATTCCAGGGGTCTCATTACCCGAACGAGGCAATCCCCCAATCCCCCTTGTTTTTCAAAATAGAAAATTTCTCAGAGCAGCTGGCAATGGCCCACACCAGCCGACCGATAGCAATCAACTAGCCATCGCCCAAAACCCTTGGCGTGTACGTTAACACAACCCATCCCGAGTTTAATACATACGGAAAGGTAAAACCCAGGGTGAGAGAGATCATTAACCCGACAAGAGATTCTAATCACGCAACATTGCACATCGTTTTAGCATGAACCCCCGTACCACCCCCCGAAACGAGCGGGTGAACCCCCGGCGCATCAAAATGCCGAAACAATCTCGCCGTTATCGAAAACAAAGAGTCTCCCCTTCAATCCACCCCTTTGTCTCTATGAAAACGAGAGACAGTACAAAACTCGGGCGTAAAAAAGAAGGAGAGAAACAAAAAAGATATCGCAGAGCCCATGAAATCTCGGTGAAAATTCACGTACACACACGAGGCCCCCCCTGACATTCCGCTAGGTGAAAAGAGTAAAGAGGAAGAGAGAGGGCAAGAAAATCGTTCAGGAAGTCCGACGGTGGTGTAGGAAGGAGACGAGGAGTTAAAAAGTGGTGAAAAAAAAAAAATACAATCCCACGATCGATCAAACCTCCCTATTTCCAAGCCAGTTGAAAAAGGAACGAGTGGAGAGTAGACGATGAAGAAAGTGTAGGAGGAACGTGAAACGCGAAAAGTAGTAGTAAAGAGTAAAAAAAAGAAAGGGAAAAAAAAGGGTGGTGAACCCCCCGAAGGTAGAAAAATAAGACACCGACGCGGAGACCAAGCCAGATAAAGAAAAAAAAAATGAAAGGAACAAGTTTACTAACCTTCACGCAGTATCCCAGTATTTCCCGGCTTGTGTCAAAATAAATATGGGCTCAACTCCAGGACACAACAGAAAGCTCCAGCACAAATCACATAATGCACATAACACCACTGCACTTGTAAACACACTCACTCGCGAAGGTTACTGCTAACGTTAGAGAGTAAATTAATCAATGATAAGAATCGTTGTTTTTACGTTGACTTTGGATTGATGGTGGGGAAGTTGAAAAATCCGAGTTGGGATATTTAACTGCTGTCGGAATGAGGCAAGTTGGATGACTGACGATTGGATCGGAGTAAATAAACACAGGGCGTGTTTTGTTTTGTTTTGCTTTGGCCTACGGCCTTTGGTCCCGTAGGAGTTGAGTTTCTCGAGGTAAACAGAAAAATATTTTCGATTGCCGACGTTTATACCGTGTTGCCCTGTGGCAACGAAAATCGCCGGGGGACTTTTGCGTTTACCGCGATCTCAGGTGACAAAACAAGTGACGACGAACTGGCGCGCGTTATTCTTCGACCCTTTGGTCCTATGCTCCGTCAAGGTTATCAATCTCGATATAACTTGTACCGACTTGTTGTGAAGGACTGGCCAATTGTTTAAACAAATGTATGAGCATCAAGTGCGATAACAATGGCGTCGAGTGGGTTGGCAAGGGGTTGTGTGTTGGATAGAAAAGGTAAAACGCGCCGGTTTGGTAAAACACAACGCGCAGCAGTCTCGTCCGGCCGAGCATACATACGACTGTGAACCGCTAGTGAGCCGAGTACCGCTCATTCGACTACCAGGAGGGGGGGGTGAGGAGCGCGCTGGTGCCGCTTCCTTCTCCCACTCGGTGGGGGAAATATTCACTGGTGGGAGAAGAAGGGGAAATGGACTGGGAGAGAAACGTTGATGGGGGAAAAACACATTCGAACCATTCAACTCACTCAAAACATTGTTTCACTCTTTATTTTCACACTGTTTGCGGTGATGTGGATGATGACCGCCATGTTGTCGAGTTCATCGGGCATTTGGTGTTGGTTTCTACGGTGGTAGGGATACCGGAGGGGTTAAAAAACACGGAATTTTGGGATTTTTCGGGGAAACGCGAAGAGAGATGGATATAGCTCGTGGATGGTGGGAGAAGCAACTGAGGGGAAGGGCGTCGCTCGATCGCAGCCGCAAGTTGAGTTCGGGTTTTCCCGGAAGGTCTCGGTATACTCGCTAGACTCGGCAGGTATCCACGACATCGAGTTGTTGGTGATGAGGAGTGCGCGGGGGGGTTGGGGTTCAGTAGTTATACAAGGAATGAAACAGAGAGAAGGCACGTGCGGCGTGCTATTCACGTGGCGCTATCTCACGGCGGATCATCGAGGCCATAGGTGTTCAATGTTCAATTTACATTTCGTCTGCACTCGATAAACCCCGTATTTTTCAAGGGGACTTTTAATTACACCTCATTGAGTGGGGTGAAAGGGACTTTCGACGAAAATGCTGGCAGATGAATGTTATTTAAGGGTAAAAGGTGGCAGGTGAATAGAGCCTTTTCCATAGTTTTTCATCTGCTAACATCACATTGCCACGTTTTTTTTAATGGCTGAAGGTCATTTGGAGAAGTTCAGCGGGTTGAAAAGGCTCGATCCGGTGGGGTGCAACGAACCGTGAAAAACCCGGAGAAATAATTCAAATAAAAAAGTGAGGAGGGAGGGAATTGAGAGAAAAATACACGGATTAGCCGTGCATGTATGAATAGAGAGTACGTAGCCAGAAACCAGTCATTAAAGTTGCGGTCGTCACGACTCACCGAGCACAAACCGTCATTCAATCTTAAATCTTGTACGAATCGTTGGAGCAAAATTTCCCGTGGATAATCCTAAGACACATGCACGGCTTCAACGAGAGAGGATAGAGGAGAGATGAGGGAATAAAAAAGGTAAAGGGTGAATGTAAATAGAAGCAATGCGCGTCGGGGTTCGCCTCATTAAAGGCGACGAACGTTGCAGGCCGTGTGTTATCCCACCAGACCGAGGGAAAAAGGGAAAAAAACTTGGGGACAAGTGTTTTAGGGAGTCGTATATCCATCTCACTCGACGAGTCAACGCATTTTTACAGGCTCAGCTATAATTGGTCGCGTGAATTTACCTTTTTTGAATTTTCACTGGCTATTTTTGAGCGGGAGTCATCGAGTGCATCCTCGTGAATTATCCGAGGTTTATATTTGCATTCGCGATATAAATGTCCCGTATAAATCTTGGAAATTTCCTATTTTACTGAAGATTTTTTTAAATCGATCTTTTCACGATATTATATCGTCGGTGTGGAAAAATGTTAAATTTGACTTATCTCGATTTAACACTTGGCTACAAAATTTTATATATCCTGAGCAGTTAAATATCCCCATCATCTATTTGTCGAAAATAGCCTAGAAATGGTGAGAATTTTTCTCTTTTACCATTTGTCAATAAAGTTTTTATCACCCCCATGATCAAACCGAAATAATGTCCGCGTGATTAATTCATAAAAGGGGCTATAAATTTTTTTCAACGAAAATGAAATGCCTCTGAAACATTTTCAAAGGTCCATTACACCCCGATGGCTTAATTACCCTTTTTTACACGAATCCCGAACATTGATGTGCAAAAAGAGGTGACAAAAAATTACGACGCACTCTGGGCAATGTGTGGTGGTTATTTGGCACGTTAGTTGGGTATTACGGATATCAAAATGGTGGAAGTGGTAATCTCACTCTACGTGTACTCTCTCTACCAGGAGTTGAGTGCCTGTTCGTCACATGCACACACGCCTCACGTGTGCTCCCAGTTGGTCAGCGAGACCATTTCAGAGTCCTCTGATCATCACATATTCTATGCACTTTCATCAACCAACTCAGCGGCATTTCAGCGTCTCCAGGCACAGCCACTATTTTTATTCATTAGTCCACCACCATAACACCAAAACACCAGAACACGAGAACACCAAAACACTCACGACACCAGAACTTGCACATTCCCATTTGCCTGGAAAAAAAAAAATAACAAAATCATAAATAAATAAAAAATCTCCAAGTACTGAAAATATTTGTCCCACCTCTACGAGCATTTATCTTCATTTAATTAGATGATTCATGCGATATGAGTGGAATACCCAGTGGAGTGTAATTGGTTATTAATTGGTTGCAGCAGTCTCGCATCTCGTCTCCAACAAAACAAATATCATCGAGAACATTATCATAATTGGGGAAAAAAATTATCCAATCGAAATTTAATGGAATAAATTCTCGGACAAATGAGTTATTAATATTGAATGAATTATTATTCGCTGTAGAGTGGAATTTTCAATGGGTTCGTCGAAATCGATTGAAATAACGAATGAAACGGTACTGTAACACTAATGAAAATATTTCACGATGATTTCCAATGGAGTTTTACTTCGTACTGAATTCATTCGAATAACAAAGTCTCTTTGAATGTGAAATTTCAAGCCAAGGAATAACCGTAACCCCCAGCAATCTAGGTAGCCCGCGTTGGTGATATTTGCGTTTCCCTTGTTTGTGCGATGCCGACATTCCCTCTCTCACCAACCCCCTTTTTCCGCGGCGTTACAGAAGTCACGGGGCTTAAATATTTAAATTCCATTTTTGAAAAATAGAGTGAATTCTGCGGGTAAGGACGATGAGGGGTGAAAGCAAAGGACTAACAAAAAGAATGGGGAGAGGGAAAAGTGAGTGGGACTTCTTGAACCGCGGAGTTGCGACGTTTTCCGCTATTCGAGTCTGATGCTATGGGGTGGAGGGGGTCGAGGGAGTCGAGGTTACGAATGGAAGCTCCTCCAAGACGAAGAACAAAATTATGATAAGTGGTACGGTAATCATGGCTGTACTCCTACGTAACTGCTTATAGTGCTTTTCTGGGGCGAGGGAGGAGAGCAATGGACAAGAGATTTTTTTCTTCCTCGGAGAGGATTTATCGGGCTTTTCCGAGAATTATTTGAGGGATAAGAGGAGGAATTGGATATTGAAAATTTAGTAGATGCATCCAGTGCTCAGAATTCCTTGAATGAATTAATGAATATTCTCGATGAATGTATTTATTGAGTGTGAAATGTATTTAGCTATAACTTGCTGATATTTCTCAGAGAAAATATTTCACTTGACGACAAAAGTCAGTGAGAAGTGGAAGATCAAGAAACTGCGGGACGACGAGACTGGAAAAGCCGAGTGGAACGCCAGCAATTCTATTCAGTAAAATCCCGATATCGAATTGAAAACTCACGTCAAATCCGGAATCCTGGGCATCCAGTAGTCCACCGGGTCCTTCTACCCGTCAACACTGCAAAAATTTTCCCCCAATTTGTGTTATAAAAAAAACCGGAGGGATAGAATCAGGAAAATTCATCCAATTTGACGCTTGTTAAAGTGGGCGACTGTCGAAGGGTGCAATTCACCGGGGATTGATAGCCCTCGGTTAAAGTACCGTGACAGATCCAAAGACATTGTCAACGAGCAAAAAAAAAAAAATGAATAACCAGCAAAAAAATCCCCTAACTCTGTGAAAATTTTTTCACTGATACTTCAAGGAATTCCGTATGGACAGAAACTGTCAATTGAACTTCAAGTACTCCATAACAATACATGTGATTCCAGAGAATTCAGTGTCACCTGAGAATGAATGTTCATGTTTTATGAAGAATTTTTGAGAATGCTGAGTGAAACTGTAAATTTTGTGATGTTTTCCCCCGCTCAAAGAATTTAGAGACACTCTCGTGAAAATTAGTAGCCATAACTGTGGGTGAGATTTCAATGCTTTTTGAAATAGTGTGAGGCCAAGTGCCTCCGAGAATAACCAAAAAAAAAGCCAAAGAAAGAGGAAAAAAAAAACAGCCACTTCTTGAGAAGACAAGTGACCCGGGGGTGGGGTAAAAACACTGGAATATGATGATAGAGACAGAAGTAAATTTGTCGTGGAGCGTGTCGGCGAGAGGTGCGCTTCGTTAACCCGCTCGACGATCGATATGCTCCATTCGCCCGGATATATTTCGGTGGGGGGAGTAAAAATTTCACCAACGAGATATGTCGAATGGCATAGAAGGGATGAGAAGGTGGGTGCATGT